CTGAGCTACAAATCTTCTGTATTATTCCAACCAGACTTAGTTTACAGAACACTATTACGAACTGTGAAGACTGATTTGGAAACCGTCTGTTAGTAAATAATGCTACCAACCTTAAGCAACGAAAAACAGCTATGTTTATCAAATTATAGTAAAATGATCCATCTTTGTATGATGCCGTTCATAAGAATCAATGAAGCGTTAAATGAAGAACTCTTTATTTCCTTCTTAGAATCAACGGAACTAACTGGCACTGTTCAACTTTGATTGGACACTAATAACTAGTGTGATTTGTCTAGCCCTTTCTTTGGTGCACACTGAATTCTGTCAGTCAGGTTTGTAATGTCGCCACCATTCTAGGTAACTCGCCATCACGGTGCACATTAATTTGATGATACTAGGTACGCCTTGCTGACGAGAGCCCACTAGCACGAAACCTAGGTCCAAGGCTTCCTGTGGCCGATTGCCTCCAACCATCTAACTGTTCAACTTTAGACATCCGAAAGGTGATGCTGTACCAAACAACTTGGAAAGAGTAACCTAACCCTTATCTCTCCCCAACTACCACTAATACCTCCCTAAAAAGATTAACCTAAGCCTAAGCTGTCTCTAGGTTAAACCTAAACTTAATCTTGCCCTAATCTAACCTAAAACTGATTAGGCATCCTCTTCAATACCACTTCACTTCATTCAACATATTTATGGGATTTTGTAGCTATTTACCACTTGGATTTTAATTAGTCTTTATTGAATGTCATTTAATTCACGAAATTATGCTGTAAAACCTGTATGCACTTAGTACTTAGTATTAGGATAGATACCGAAGTAGACGAATATGTTTCAGCACCAACACAAAAGTTTCGTTTCACATTTGTCAACGTGAATGGATTCTGAAGCCGAAGATGCATCTCACTACGTTTCAAACAGTGTGTAAATCGCAGCAGTCTACACTGTTGATAAAACCAGAAGTTGTAGAACTACCATAGGCTTCAGCTGACTGATGCTCGTAATCATTCGATTACTGACATTAAGTAGAACAGCATGATATGTTAATTAAGTCAGTAAGAGGAAGTTTTGAGTCTTCCTCAACTGAGGCTGTTAGGAAACGGGTTATATGCACCAAGACACCGCCTGCCTGAATGACCAGTGTTACCAGAAGGATGATAGAGGTTGGAAAGTTTTAAGTACAGCCACATCAAACCATAATACAAACTCATGAATCATCTTATTGAGGATTTCATCCATAATAGAAGACATTTACTGCCTCGGTGAATTCTTTAGGATGATAAGCATGCTAGATAACTCTAACTAAAGGCCAATATACTGAAAGCCAACATGAAATGATCAATTAATTAACTTCCAGAGCTACGTCTTACTGGTTGGAAAACAAAATCTAGTACGTTCGTTATCCTCGAGAATTACGAAAATTTGTGTGAAAGACACAATAAGGACTATGTGATTTCTTATTAGAAGACAAATATCTACATAGATTAATTAAACTCAAATATGAGGGAAAAGCCAGTATCAAAGAAGGTAGCAACTGTTCCCATGAAAACGCTTTTCATGAACCCAAGGTTCAGCAGGTATCATGGAAACCGATATCCTTAAAAACTCTTTTTCCAAGTGTTTGAAATAAGCAATTTACGCTGCCACCATAAGACTCAGATTCTCAAGAAGACATTTAACCTAGTCATTTATTAGGAATAAGATACCGCTCCTGGCTACTTCAGTGTATTTATTAGTTTACTCGTTCCCATGGAGAAAAATCAGAGGTACACAACGTCAAGTCCGATATTGAAACACTGTCCAGCCAGCCTAGCCAGGAGAGAGAAGAGTGCAAATAGTTTACCCTCAAGTGCCATGTCCACTCTGGACATTTGGCACTCTGTATAACTGCTTTACATTGACATACAGAGTTTCTCAATATCGCAAACGACAGGGCTATTAAAATACACTGATTATACATAGTTGAAACAGACTATTCAGAACCTCAAGACGGTCATTAGTCTTCAAAAGCATTAAGACGCACTCACCTGTCTTACCACGACTAGGGTAATCCTCTTGCCATAATTTCTTTCGTTTCATATTTATTTCTGTTATATCGTTATTGTTATCTACTGTTAGTAGTACTGCGTTACTCATACACATTTCGTCTACACACTAGTCCTCTTCACTATTTTGTCCACTTGATCCATTCAGGTAGTTTATTATTATTTCCTTTAATTCCTAGAGAAACATAGGGCTTCAGCTGAGCGTCTCCATCCCGTTCGGTTCTCTGCCAACGTTTTCATCCCGCTCCAAGTCTGCCCACATGCTTTCATCTCCTCTCCACATCACCTCCTCCAAGTCCCCCTCGCACTGACGACCAACTCGAAGCTTCCCTTTCGGGTTCCACTCGAGCGATGGCTTGTCTAGTGATGTCACTTGATGGTTTTCTCAGATTATGGCTAGCCAATCCACCTCCATTTCTTCCTGCCTTTTTGTTGCACAATCTGTTCCTGGTTGGTTCGCTCCCAGAGATCTCTGTTTCTGATCTTTTCCGGCCTGCCATCTGATCTTGAGTATTGGGCAAAGACAACTGTTAATGAAGGTCATTCAGGTAGACAGGATAGCTCTTGCCCTTGTTATGTAATAACACTTCCTGTCCCTTGTGGATTCTCTTCTAGACTATTCCTAGAACATAACCATCCACTGGTTTTATGCATTTCATATATAAGATTGTCTGCTTTTTGAAAATCATTCATCGAAGAAAATTATTCACTGTCACTTTCTGTTTTAATGGTAAGAATCGATGTTTCGCAGCTGTTGATGAGATGACCTGAAATCGCTCCATCTATAACAATCACAATTGTAAACATTTCCATTTTGCCATAGTCTCTAGTTGATCCTGTTTAACAGCATGCCAACTTGAACTAATGCATTTCTGTAGAAAATCCTATCTCAATTTGTTAGTCAATCAGTTTGTCCCAACTCAAGTATAGTGATATGATTATCAATCATTATTATTGTTTCCTTTAGTTCCTAGAGGAACATAGGGCTTCAGCCGAACGTCTTAATTCCGTTCGGTTCTCTGCCAACGTTTTCCCGCGGTTCCATATCTGCCCACATGCTTTCATTTCTTCTTCATATGACCTCTTCCATGTCACCACACCCTCTCACTGACGACCAACTCGCCGCTTCCTATTCGGTCGGGTTCCACTTGACCGATGGCCTGGCGTGTGATGTCACTCACTTAGTGGTTTGTTTCCTCAAAGTCATCGTTCCTCAAAGTATGGCTAATCCAACTCCACTTCTTCCTACACAGTTGTTGAACAATTGATTCCTGCTAGGTTGGTTCGCTCATTGTTGGTGATCTTTTCTGGCCGGCCATCTGATTTTGAGTAGTGTTTGTGGAAGACAGCAGTTGATGAAGGTGTGTAGTCTGGAGAGGGAGACTGATTACTGAATCCTGCCTGGTTCATCGAATCTGAACCCAATCCAACACACGCAAGAGAAGTGACTCAACACAAATATCAGAGATATGGAAGATATTATTACCAGTCAAATCAGAGGATGATAAATAATGATAAAATGTATTCAATTCACATCATAACATTCTAACAAGTTACTTATTTTTACTATGAGACATATTATTTCCCATTTGATTGTATTTTATTGATAACATTAATACTGTTTCTGAATGTACTTTATCTTATTTCGTTTTTATTACTATGTCTAATCATCAATTTTTACTCATGGGGGAAGAGAGTTGTGTGAGTATTGCTTTGATATGATTATGAGTGGCAATAATTTGTACTCGAAAGGTGATCATCAGTAAATATTACTGGATAACACTACTGTGTGATTTTATCAAAATAAAATTTCATCTGTAATGGAGTCATACTCCACCACAGTTTCGAAGTTTCATCCTTATATCAATGTGTGTAGTTTGTTTGAAGTGCTCTTCGTGATGTGCTGGCCAAGTCTCTCATCCGTATAATGAGTAGCATTGACTTCACATTGAGGTTGAAAATTCACATCTTATTTTCATTGTCATACTGAGTGTTGTTGATCTCCACACGGACTTGAGAGTCATGAAAGCTTGTCTCGCCTTCGCGATCCTTATTTTGCTATCCTCGTCAGTTCCCTTCGCCTGTGGTTAAAATGATGATTCCCGGATAGGTATGTAAAATAGAGGTTGCTTTTATCAGATTTCCCCAATTTACGCTGTTGTCTGTTGTTGTTGCTGCTTTTGCTGGTGGTGTTGGCCAAGAATCTTCATAACCTCCGTCTCCACCTTCTCTATGTTCACGTGAAGTCCTATCTTCTCTGGATGGTTCTTCTTCCAACTTGTTGCTTTTAACTTGCATATCTTCCAGTTTGTGGGAAATCAGACATATATCATCGATGAAGTACAGATCCTCCAATTATTTTTGTGTGGGTGCATTTTATTCCTATCTCCTCGTCGTCCGCCACTGTCTGACACATTATCCAGTCTACCATACACAATCAGGAAATTAATCATTGGAGATAGTAGGCAGCCAGCCAGCCAGCCAGTCTTGTCTTACTCTCATCTTCATTTCGAAGAATTCCGTGAGTTTCTTGTTGTGGATTACTTAGCATGAAGCATTATCGTACAACCGTCGGACGAAGTGTATAATTGTTGGCGGCACCCCTTGGTGGCAGCGAAGTAGTTTCCAAATCACCTCTTAGTCAATAGATGCCTTGTTTCTCCTGAATGCAGCCTGTTCCGGCCGAAGTTTTTTATGCATGGCGTTTTTGATCCTATCTAGGATGATGCGGCTTAGTATTTTGCTTGGGACAGACAGGAGCATAATGCCGCGGATTACCATTCACATCCGTAGTACACTTAGAAGGATATTTTGTACTACCAAAAACGACAATATGGAAACAACGAATTTCAGTACACCGGACCTAACCATAATAAAAATTCAGATTAATGTACTATTAATATATATATTTTGAAGCTGTACAAACAATTCAGATTATATCCTAAATAATACTTAGTCATGATGGCCATCCAACTCTTTCCATCTACCAAGACGAAGACGTCGCTGAGTTTCTTGCTTAACCCACCAACTGGGCATATCTGGTGGCATTGGAACAGCTGCTGGGTATTCATATCTTTTACGACGAGGTTCTTCTTCATTCAGAGGATTTCCTTCGCTACGCAGTCGTTCGTGAATAATCTCTTCGTACAATTCTTTGCGGTCTCGATAACGGTCCAGGTAGACATCAAATGATACATCATTGTGTACACCATATCTTTCTCTGATAAGAGGTATTCCATGTGGATGTCGACGCGGTTTAGTCCATGTATTAACAACTGGAAACTTCTCCTGCGGTGGTACACGGGGATCTGGCCACTGAATTTCAAAGACAGGTTCAGGGATATCTACATAAAGGCGAAAGTGAAAGAAACGTCATAGTTTTAAAAAAAATTCAGCTGTTTCATAGTTTGTTACTGAAATAAACTGAGTAGTTTAAGTTTTATGGGAAAAAACTGGTCAAATTGAGTCAGATATCTATAACACACAGTCCGGAGTGAGATTTTATTGGAAACGAGAAATATTCACATTACGATATGTCGTTCATTCACACTATGTGTTACCAATATTACAAGCATAAATGCTACACAACATATTGAATACTGTGAGGTGTTTACATCGCCTCAATGTAGTTTGGGAACACATACTGGTTTGTGAATTTCTCCATTATTCACACCGATCAGTAGTACACATAGTGTAAATAGCAGAACATCAATTCCTCGAGGCTAATAAACAAACACTTACGATGTGGTGAGAGCTGTCTGCTAGGCAAAATTGTAAACGACAATTTACGTCAGTATTCACGTCCCGAATCAGGGTCATGAGAAAAACGATAAAAGCTTAACCTTGAGCAAATCCCCAACCAATCATGTGCAAATACGAATCACAGATACATGCCTTAACTTTCTGAGATACGGTCACTAGCAGTAAAGAATAACCTTGAGGAAGAAAATAACCAACCAGAAGACGTTGCTTCTCCGCTGACAATAATGTCCATATATATATATATATATATATATATATATATATATATATATATATATATATATATATATATATATATATGTCGCCTGGCTCTTGTCTTCTGTCGTTACAACAACATACCTCAAACAAACCTTCAGAGAATAAATTGACTTCTATGTGAGAAAAAGATGAAAGTATAGTATCATATTATTATCTCACATAAATGTGTGAACGAACAACATTCATCTCGATTACTTTCTCAGGTTCTACAGTTATACGTCCATATCAGTCAACCAAACAATTGTTATTAACACGATTAATGCTTTGTCATAACATGGAATCATTGTGATCAAAGGATTCAAGGGTTTTATACAGGAGGGATGTATGTGAATAAGCAGCTACTATATTTCAGTATAAATGATAATGAGCTAAAGTATAAAAATGAATTTTCAAAGTAGATTACCATAGATGACAGTAAATATAGAAAAATGGATGTTTTTGATTGACGTCCAACCTTAGACAAGAAGAAGGGACCAGAAAAAGTATGGCTATCCACGGACACCTGGAAAGTGACAGAGGAGAGAAGAATGGTGAAGCAGAAGCGGAACCAATACTGAAATGAACAACACTAGATCTACTGAACAAAGGAGCGAAGAAGAGTGTTAGTGAAGACGAAACAGTTGAAGCAGTACACCCTGCATATAAGATAGACCGCGTAACAATATATCAAATAAACTAGTCACTATCCGAGAAGCTATCAACGGAGGCGACGCCAATGAAAGAGAGTTAAGGAAACCCAATTACCAAAGAGGTGGAACAGAGTAAACGCTGAGATGCTTTCAAAGGTCTCTTCAATAGACCCCCCCTACAACTTGTCCAAACATACCACCAACAGACAGATAACAGATAGTGAACAACAAATTTCCAACAAAAAGAGCAGTCTTGAAGACGTCGATGGTTATGTTCATGCCGAAGTTGCAGAAGGTGTGAAGGTAATCAAGGAAAAATGCGTGCCGATTTGAAGGCCACCTTATCAAACAATTGTAGCCAACCGACAATTACACAATGCACATATGAAAAACTAGGCCTGGTACGAATGATTTATTCATACATTCATAGACATTTACAAAGGACACAAAGTATTTGGATTTTCAGAGGAATGTGACTTTTCTTGAGTATAAGATAATATTCTAATACAATATTACCTTACCAAGTGCATATTTGATTCCATAAAAGCAGAATTTAGAATGCGGATAAAGAATTGCGAAATATACACCACCAAATCGGCACACTAATCTGTTTAATGATATGTAGTATGTAAGTCAAGTGAGCCACAACAATGAACTCAGTGAAGCCTTTGGAGTCAAGGAAGCAGTAAGACAGGACTATCTACTGCCATCAATGTATATTCTTATTTTTGGTGGACTGGATTATCCTACAGACTGTAAGGAGCGAGCGGCCGGGAATATGTTAGGCCGATAAGAAGATTCTAAAAGATCTAAACTTTACAAACGATATTACGAAAAGCATTTTCAACAGCCAGCCGCGGACTTTTATAGACAAGTACCTTGGCTGGCTCTATACTAGAGGTCAGATGGCCAGTCAGAAAGGATTAAAATCGAGAACCTCTGAGATCAAACCCATCCGTAGGAAAAGGAGAATGATGCTCGGGGAGGCTTCGTGTGCTCTTGGAAGTGTGTGGGCAGTTGTTACTTCCCGGCTGCCCACACCGTGGAAGTTGTTTGATTCTTCGAGTATCTGAAACAGAAAGAGGGTTAGTGTTGCGTGAACGCAGAGCCCAGAGGACAACTGCCTGAGGCCGGTCACCTGTATGAATTGGCTTCTTGGTTTGGTTCCGTATTAGTAAACTTACCACCGGTTACGGACCACCGTAGGGTAAGTCGGGACGTACAATATTCGGGGTGGACCTTTTCTAACCCCCTTCTCTCCAGAGTGGAGAGACAGCATATCTGGCTAGCATGCTGGTCATCTGAGGGAAACACCTCACTGCTGTTACATCCCTGTTCCCCAACGGTACGACTTCGCCCACAGACCCCCAGCATGGTATAGAAAAACTCCAACACTATGTCGGTAACTGCTTTTAGTCTAATGGTTATCTTAACAACCTTCCTGTCACGGTAAAACCTGCAGGAACAATAGTTCCAGCCAGTGTAGCTTGTTGGGTCATTGCGATATGTAAGCTCAACCACCACGTCAAGGTAGCAGCTATCGGTCGGGACAAACCTATCCTTTCACTCGACAAACATTCCGAAGAAAGTGGAGACAGATTTAGACATACGCTGAGGAGACCATTTAGTGACACCACACGCTAAGCAGGCTGTCAAGTGCAACCTGATTAGGGAACGACAAGTTGGACCGTTTCGAGTGAGGTGGAGATCGCATGAGAAGGAGATGAAAGCTTATGGGTAGTCACAGAGCCAGTTTAAAAGCACTGCAGGGATCAGGACGAGATGGAGATGTATAGTTGAATCCCTGCGTTGACACTTGGAAACCAAGGGCATAATAATAATAATGTACGAGAATCATAGTACAGAGAGTAATATTCCAGCATATCAAGAAGGCTACTAATGATATTGTAACGACAGAAGACAAGGGCCAGGCAATAGATCGTTCATTGAGAAAATCAGCAAATATAGATTTATGTACATTTTTATTCGTAATTGTTTGCAAAGAAGCAACCTCTTCCGATCGGTTGTTTTCCTAATGAAGGTTATTCTACCATCTCTTTGTTGCCGTTTCTTATACAATCCGTTGATATATCTGCTAATCGTATCCGCCCACGCTAAGTCTGCTGTGGTTGGTTGTTGAGTTCCTCAAGGTTAGGCTTTGTTCTTGCTTTTTTCTCATGACTAAGACTTGGGATGTAAACATTGACGTAAATCGCCGTCTACCAATTTTGGCTAGCAGACAGCTCTCTCCACTATATGTATATATATATAAGGTTGTTAATCAAAAAGGCTTACCAAGTTTCGAACGATAATATGATCGTACACTATCATCCCATATTGACTGGAAGAATACCAAGCCAGCTGGAGTTAACTCGTCTTGTAAACCTCGATAAAATTCTAATGTGCTGAAACTTCGTTCCAATCGAAAATCTCTGAAGTGCAAGGCAATGCAAGACCAATGCTTACAACAATATAGTCAAACATTAGCGGATATTGATAAATACTACCAAAAACCGAAACAACCTAACAACATAAAATGAATTAACTACAACGACTGAATATTTGAAATACGATCATAGTAGCAAAAACTTAACTCAATGAGAAACTGTATAAGTCTACCACAGATTCTACAATTTTACTTGCTTCTGTCCTTACACATACACACACACACCCACAATAAAAATAAAATACGTGGTACTTCGAAAATGATACCGACTGAATTAGGCAATCTCAGTGGCAGAAGTATCGCTTCAGTTAGTGGTATGATAGGTCAAACCAACCGTTTACACCAATCGATTGCAATTGAATAGTTTCAGAGAATGACACTACCTATTTGTGAAGCTCATATACAAAATATCACTCCTTATACTATTGACTGATTGACACGAGTGGTTGAACACACCTGCCAGCCAGATTGAAGTGATCTAAACAGTTGATCGCTCGTTCGGGGTCGGACATCATCAGTGTTGGACCCACCCGATTTGATTCAGCTCAGAGAGCTGAATCAGTTCAAACCATCTAAGCTCTGACTAGCCTACTTGGCCGAACTAGTACTACATGCTAAACCACATATTTTGATCTAAATAATTGCGGTTCGCTGTCTGTCTGTTTTCAACATAGAACTTTGAACCGATCTGCAGCAGCTCAAGTCGCCACACTCCACACAATGCAAAAAAAGAAAGCAGAAGAAATGCATAATAGAGACAGTAAACAGAGGTGTGAGAAAAAGGAATAGTAATAACAAAGAACAATATAGCTTCATTGGAAACTATAGGTCACAAGGAGTGGATATATCTGCGCCAGCCATTGAAAGTGATTTTGAGCCATGTCGCCGATTGTCTCCAACAACTGGTTTTTACCGTCCCGAGGACCCCAACCAGGAAGCCAGTCTACACCTTCCTATGTGGCTAGCTTAAACTAACTGTTGTGGATTTCATTGACTGGTGCCATATTTTGGTTTGACCACCGCTAGCTCTTTTCCAGCCTGACTCCATGTCAGCTAACATTGCCCGTTGTCGAGGATATCACGTCTATGCCAGACACAGCGTAAACTGGCATATGCAAAACTAGCCCTCTGTATCCGTGCAGAGATTTTGTCAGCGATCGACCCGTTCAGGCTGATGCAACTTCCCAAATAAGTGAAATGGTCAACACGCTCTACCACTTTACTCCCTATCTTAAAGCTAGGAGTCAGTGTAGTCCAGTCCCGTAGCATCATCTTACATTTGTAGGAAGCAAATTGCATGCCAAACATTCGTAGATTGCACCTCAAGGTATTCAGAAGATTCTGCATCTTGTCAGCGTCTTCACCTAGAAGGTTTCCAAGCTAAATTGTGGCGAAATTTCACCTCGAACTGTATAAATGCCAAATCGAAAATTCGATTCACAAGATAACTCTTTCAAATCAACTAATAAAAACACAGACTGACTAACTGGAGAATCAACACGGAACTTTGCAAAAAATAATGCAGCAGTTTAATTTGTCATACGCCGGAGAAGCATACAATAAACAACGACACGCTAACAGAATGATAACACAGTAGACAATACAACAGGTGTAAGGGCATAAAAATAACTGTGTGACTTTTCAGAATGAGGAAAGAGTAAACATATCTGAGTCAAAAAGAATCTCCAACAATTTATTCCTAGCAGCCCGAACACTCTAGACGTGAAACTTATACCTGACTACACGGCGCAGAATAACAGTTAGAGACTTCACACACTAATGTGACGCTTCGATATAACGATGTTTAATACGCCTTTCAACGTGCTCGTACTTCATTAAAGTAGCACATGTCTTGTCTACCTCAATCAATGAAGCTTTATAGCTATACAGCTTAACTTGTCTTCTTTGCATAATTGAATGAAAGTAGTGTTATGCAGTAAGCACGACCACAATTTAATACGAACACCTTTGGTAGTGCTAATAACCCACTGGGTAGTTTGTTTTTACGGTAACATGACCTTACATGGACCTACTAGTTCGCAAAATTGGGTACATACATTACATTCTTTAGTCCCAATTACCACTGGTATTTCTTTCACTCTTTTGCACGCGAGGTGGAAAATAGAACTTCAAACTCAAGAGCTTCAGAAACAGTGGTGCTTTTTTACTGGATAGGTTGCTAGCCTCACGCCCAAAAACCTTTCGTCTTTTCCACGCTTACTATTGGCTAGAAAAGGTTTACGAGTGCGCCAACTGGGAAGCAAACACCAACCATATGAGTGGTTGACAAATATTATACTGCTGAACCACCAGAGTACAACACTGGAAATACATTTTCCAAAAATATGACAACATTTACTTAACTGACGAATGAATTTTGTTATTTTTTCCGCCAAGAGTTTCATCAACCAAACAGTTGTGAAATTTACTAGTTTGCCTCACGGTTGCTAACCTACAAACTAATAAGTCACAAAAAATATTGACATTGCAACTTGTGCTACTGACAAGATTTGTAAGTAGTATATATGTGCAGATATAAATATGTAAATCATCTTGTAGAATGCTGAACAGCGGAGAAATAGAATTAATGAACAATAATTGTGAAACAACACGGAAACAATGAAAGGAAGACAAAGAAGCACAATACCGAAGATTTTTGCATATTGTGATTCTAATATATGATAGACGTATTTTGTCTATATCTGTGCAGCGAGTTGCCAATTCCATTTACAAAAATTCTCTTGTTCTGACGTTACAATCTAATACAAAAAATTTATACGCGTTACGGATAATTCTAACTTACCTACTAGGCTCACCTCTTCGCCAGTTATCAAGATTAACTTGCCCACGATCTTGTCGGTAAAGAATAAAAATATATCGGTGGTACCCAGTTCCTTGATATGGTAACGGAGGCATATAGGAAATAATTTCCTCACCTCCAACGCAACCTTCAGGTGAAGGCTGCAGATTTGTCCTATGCAAAATAAAGAGAAAGAGACATGAAAATATTAATTTATGCAGGACAACTTTCTCACAAACTGATTGTTCATTATGTACTACTATTATTAAGATACAAACTTGGTATATTATGGACACCAAGAGATATGCCACACAAAATATCATACTTTGTGAGACGGTTGGGATACTCTCCGGATGCATAGACCGAAGCATGCGGGTTACCTTAAGGAACTACAATCCAAGCGTTTGACCTGAAGTCTAATCCACAGAGCAGTAGACCAGCGCTAGAAGCTATATTCTCATGGTTTCAGGTGACCAAAACAGCTTCATATGGAATTAGATCCGTTCGGATTCTAGAGCCCATGTATAGTGTAGGTTTAGGATTATGGCTTTCCAGCCTCCTTAGGTAGACCAATATGTTCACCATCGCAATTGTAAGCCATAGACGTTCGTATTCGCTCTCTCGCTTTTATGAGGAACACCCATACCATGTGAAGGCAGTGAACAGAACTTACCTGATGACGACAGCTATGCCTAAACTGAAATGACGATGAATGCGATTGACTTACCTTGAAACACCTATAATGGAGCTAAGTGCCACGTAATCACTACCTATCAGCTTTAACTGATTTCAGTGAAAGCAATCCGTTTTATCCTCATTTACCAGGAACCTGATAATGGTTTTCTAGTTATATATATTGAAGTATTGGTTTGTAGGGATTTTGTTTGATTGCATGGAGGATTTCATCATGAGCTGATATCAGTTAGAGAACCAATGGAAAACCACCTGGGAGTACTAGACAGCTGTTTCGTCAGACTAGTTTGGGACTCTTCAGAAGTACGCACCCACCGCCAGGGTTCAAATCCAGGACCTTCTGGTTACAAGGCGAGCAAACCCGTAGACCATTGAGCCACTGGGATCCGATCCAATGGTCCATGAATTCCAACCTCTGCCAATTCACAGCATAGCGCGACCATTTCGCAATATCATCTTCGATGAGTTACTGCCTCATCTTCAACCTGTTGTACCCTACTGGTCACGACTTAAATTGACTTGACACCACATTTGGCAATTCATGAAAGCAGGAATACGAATCAAGTTTGATTACCTATTGATATCAATTAGAGAACCAATAAAAGGTAGGAAGTACTGAACAGTAGTTTCAGTTCCTAGTTTGGGACCCTTCAGTGGTGCATATCTATTATTTTATAGGGGATCAGATCCACGATCTTCAGGTTACGAGGCCATTCAGTTGCTTGAGCGGGAATCCAATAGCCCGTGAATTTTAAAGATTATCAATCTGCGATTTTCAGGTCATAACACACTTAGTTTACTCATGTGTAATTGTTAATATTAAAACCTTTTAAATATTCAAGGATTTTTAAGGTAGAACAGGTAGATTTGATTATCTAAATGCATTAAGTTTACCCAATACAACCGCTATATTATCGGATAGTGGATACCGCAGTAATTGAGGTAGTCTCGCAGGAGATATATACATCGGTCGCCGAGTATTCAAACATGACAACACCATAAGAGTATTTTACAGTCATACACTACCCCAAAAGTTGAAATAAACGCAGTGGTAATAAAGTGGAAATGATAACTAATAAAACTATGGCAAAAACGCAATGGATATGTTTTTAGTATGTGTATCATCAAAGCAGACCAATTTGTACGTAAGTAAATCCCTCAGCCTGATACAAATATTACGAAACTGTCAATGAAAGCAAATACTAGACTTACACTGAAATAAAGAAAAAAAAATAAACAACACAGTGAAATGAAATGAGCAAAACAACTTACACCATCCAATGAATATATTCATTAGGCGCTTCAGAATCCTCACTACCAACTGGTTCATCTGGACAAGTCATTAATAAAGTCCAATAGAAATTTTCTGGGACTGTAGACAAGTTAATAAATGGACGTTCCTATTATATGCAACAATAGACGATGGCAAAAAATTTATGCCAATTATCGTAGTAACAAAAAATGTAAAAACTTCGTATATTCCATATAAGATTGTTTATTAGGTGTATCACACAGTGAAACAGTATTTATTATTTACTGGATGACGTTTCGAACAAAATTTATTATTCATAATCATATCAGTTGTAATCACATGACTTTGAAACCTGAGTTTTATAGTTTCCTTTGTCCTCTCTTATTTGTCGTAGGGGTAGTAGAATTTTCCAGATATCTGGGACAGGTGTTAAATCATTCCTATTACATGTATTTGCAGTTAATTCGATCATCCCATCCTATGTCAGTAAAAATAGGATTGGTGAAATGTTTAAGTGACAGAGCACAAAAACTAAGTAGCACCAAGGAAAATCTTAAACAGGAAGTGACACATAAGAGAAGCCTTGAAACTTAATAATTAAGCTGATAAATTAGTCAAGAAATATGTAGGGAAATGTAAAAGTGAAATAAATAATGTTAGTAGTGATAGTGATAATAATAATAATATTAATGACGACATGCATGTCAAATATGCGCAAGACAAAACCAACAATAAGGAATCCAAATCATCAGTAGTAATTCCATACAAGGAAGGAACCTCGCAAGCCTTACGCAGAATTCTTAATAAGGGAGTAATAAAAGTGGCTGCCATTCAAGCTACACACAAACTCAATTACAAACAAGCTTCATCGGTTAAAGGATCAATCCTGTGGAGCCTTTAAAACAAAACAACTTAGTTTATCTAATACCCTGCCTGCTATGATTGTCACGTCAAATACATGGGTCAAACTAGTAGAACAGGGGCAGTCAGACCAGCCGAACATAAAAACCTAGCGAAATCTAGATTGGTTGACCCGAATAAGATAAGAAATCTGGAGAATAGTTCAGCTATAGCACTGTATGCAATTACACACAACCATACACTAGAATGGAATAAGATGACAGTTCTATAATCTAATGTAACAGGATGGAGGGAGATATTGATAACAGAAGCTTTGTTTATCGAGTCAACTGTAAATCCGTGTAACAGGAATGATTCAACACCTATCCCGGATATCTGGAAAATTCTACTACCCTTACGACAAATAAGACAGGACAAAGGAAACCATAAAACTCAAGTTTCAAAGTCGTGTGATTATAATTGATATGATTATGAACAATAAATTGTGTTCGAAACGTCATCCAGTAAATAATACTGTTTCACTGGGTGATACGTCTAATAAACAAACTTGTATGGAATTACTTACTACTACAGTGCCCAAGTTTTACACATATATAAAAACTTCGTATACTTGGGTTTCAATTCCATTAAAAATCAAGTAATGCAAAGAAATGTAACAAAGTGCGGCAAAGTGACTTAAGTCTTCGTATGCGACTATAACGAATATCTAACATCTATCAAAATGCTTTGGTTTAAAAAAAATTATATCCCACCATATCAACAGAGTCGAGCGATTGTAAGGTATGTAGTGGAAACAACTAATATGTTTAGCAACCTTCGAACTTTTTTTCCCTTCACGTTCCCAGTGGAACATAGGGCTTCAAGCTAGTGGCTTGAAGTTTCTGTAGCAGTGTTTATTTTAAAGGATGAGGTTGCTAGCCTTATGCCCAACCTTTCCTCTTTACCAACATTATTTCTGGCTCAGCGAGATAAAGGAGTGCGTCGGCCGGGAATCGAACCCCGGACCATATGCATCGTCGGCGAGCGTCCCAACAGCTAAACCACCGACGCACAACCTTCAAACTAGCTAGGTTTATCTCAGACATTTCATATTCGCGATTAACAAACATATACGTAAAAACTTATCACTTTCATTCATCATATAACTGATGAACAACAATTTATGAGTTCATTTTATCTGATTTAAACGTAGGTGGTTCAGTGGTAAAATGTCCTCCTCCAACCACACATGCGGTCGGGGTTCGATTTCAGGAAGCAAATGCAGAAAAAAGAGAAGGTTAGGTGTGAGACCAGCGACACCACCACTACTGGAACTTCAATGGTTGAAGTTCTATGTTCCACTCGGAATGAAATGAAGCGAAAAAAAGTCTCTTATGCATGAAACCCCAAAAAATGTATCACAGAATAAACAGATAATTTCAAGAATGTCATTCCAATATCTGCACTATACGATGAGAAAACTACTCGGGTTAGGCGGGAAGATCGTTTTATAATAATATATACTCCATTAAACATAGGTACACCAATGCTCGTCGGTTAAACCATTCTTAAAATGATTTTTGTGGCCTTTGAGTACAATATTAGAGGTTATATTGGTACAACAAACGTAAGCAAATTCAGTGACACTATTCTAATGATATAGAGTGTAGTAAGACGAAAGATAGTATCATTTTAACATCTGTTGGTGTATCACAACTTCTTGGATGGGATCAGAGATGCTGTGCGACTCTCATTGGCTTGAAACACTACTATGTATGATCCAGAATCGAAATCAATAGCGAACAAGCTGTTTGGGACTCATCAGTAATACGCGCCCACGATTGCATCAGTGAACAAACCCAGGACCTATAGGTTACAAAGTAACATCACAGACCATTCAGCCATTGGGATGGAATCCAACAGCCAATAAATTCTAGCCTCTAACAATTTGCAATATATAGCGCAACCGCCAACCAATTTCATCCACGAGTATTTGTCCACACAACTAACTTGGTGGATTCCACTGATTACGACTTCCCTCTAAAACTTCAAGTAACTTCGTCCTGCATTCAATCACTAGACAGTACTAGACTAATTTTCAACCATTTAGACATTATGTATATTCATGTTAAAATTATTGGTGGTTGCACGTACCCGAAAATAACTAATTAAATATGATGATGTCATTTTCCCCGTGATAAATTTGCTCTTATTATTATTATTGTTCCCTTGGGTTTCTAGTGGAACATAGGGCTTCAACTGCACGTCTTCACTTGCTTGTCTTCTGCTGTACTTTTTACCTGCATCCATGTTAGTCCATACTGTTTCAACTCCTCTTCACACGATCTCCTCCATGTCACACTTGCATGTCCGGCCACCTGATCTTCAGTTTACATCCAGCGAAGACAGTTGTTGGTTGATGAAGGTCTGCAACAGGCTGTTGGAAATACTGTTTGTGACTCGCCCGCCAAGTTTCTGATCCGTATAGAAGAACTGACTGACTTGACGTTTTTATTGAAAATCCCACCGAATTTTGTTGTTGATGCTGAGTGAGGAAGATTTCCAGATTGGTTTCATGTTGATGGTGAATGTGTTTCTCGCCTTCCCGATTCTCGCTCGATTTGACATCCTCGTCCGTCCCTGCTGTAGTTGAGAGAATGCTCCCTAGATAAGTGAATGAAGTAACTTCTTTCAAATCCCCCCCGTTGATGGTGATTGGCGCTAGATCTTGCTGCTGTTGTTGTTGTTGTTGGTCTTGTCTATGTTCACCTGGAGTCCTGTCTTCGCCGGCTGCTTCTTCGACCAGTTTGTCGGTTTTCGCTTGTAAGTCTTCGATTTTGTGTGACATCAAATATAAATCATCCATGCGCAAAATCCAGGTTTTCTAGGTTCTTCACATCGGTCTAGGATGTCCCTGTCTTCTCGTTTCCCACTGTCTGACGCTTTGTTCAAATTTATTAAGGCGAATAATAATAGTATGTAATAATTTTTTTTAAACATTTTAATTTAGAAACTACTGACCTGAGCTGTACAGGCAGATACTAGATTGCCATAGAAAACAGGTTGTACATAAGACAGACTATTCTCATTGTCCGTTTTGTCTGAAATATCAATTCCTTCGTTGACTGGCTTAAAATACTCAATATTAAAATCCACAACAGGAATAAAAACATGAGGTGGACCATAAAGTGAACCAAAAATATCATAGTGTTTAGCAATATTGAACCGACGCATTGCAGCTTCAGTGTCTTCTTTCGGTGAGTGAATTACATCAAGTGGAACTTGTAGTGTCCTTTTACGGGCTTGAATTTCTAAATCTAACCTCTTTGGAAATGATACTGACGACTTGGATGGTACATATGGAAGACCAATATCAACAGGTTCTAACGATGACATATCTTTCGGTTTAATGGACAATTCTAAAAAATTCAGAAGAATAAAATTCACAGGAAAATTCGAATAAATATTATTTCGATTACAGCTTACAAAAAATAAAGAGATTGGACAACTTTCAACTTTTGATTTGGTAATCATCACTCAAAAAAAAACTGTGTGCTATGGCCTTTGAATATGCCTGTTATTAAAATTTGAAGATATTTACAAGTAGTTTAAACAGAAATACACGTTGTTTATTCACACTCCTAACCTCTTAACTAATAGAACAAAGAAGCCCAATCATCAATGTAAGTGTAGAACTTGGGCACTATAATAGAGTGTAATTCCATATTAAATAAGTTTGTTTTGATGATCACAGTGACGCAGTGTTAACAACTGGATGACGTTTTGAGCATAAATTACTGCTCATAATCATATTAATTTAGTCACACGGCTTCACAATTTGTCTTGTAGTGGCTTGTAGGGATTTGTTTTAATTGGTTACAGGATTTCGTCATAAGCTGACATCAGTTAGAGAACCAATGGAAAACCACCTGGGAGTACTGGACAGCTGTTTCGTCAGACTAGTTTGGGAATCTTCAGAAGTAAGCATCCACCACCAGGGTTTGAACCTACGACCTCCTCGTTACAAACCAAGCTGGTAGGCTATTAAGCCACTGAGACCCGATCCAATGGCCAGTTCATAAATTCTAACTTCTGCCAATTCACGACATAGCGTGACCACTAGTCAATGTCGTCGCTGGCTCGTATTTTTCCTCACGCTCAAACTTCTGTATCCTACTAGTCTAGGTAAACAGGGGAAATCAATCGACGAAGTCGTGAAGTTACAAAGACTGAGATGGTTAGGACATGTGTTACGTATGCCAAGCCATCGCCTCCCTCGACGAGCAATGTTAGAGGATATAGGGTCAGACTGGAAAAGAGCTAGCGGCGGTCAAACCAAAACTTGGCACCAGTCAATGAAATCCACAACAGTTGGTCTAAGCCACGTAGGAAGGTGTAGACTTCCAGGCTGGGGTCCTCGGGACGGTAAAAACAAATGGTTGGAAACGATTGGTGACATGGCTCAAAATCGTTCTCAGTGGTTAGCGCAGATGCATCCACTCCCTGTGACTTATGATCTTCAATGAAACTGTTTTGTTCTTCGTTATTACTCCTCCTTTGTCTCACACCTCTGCTCAGTCTCTATTATGCTTTTCTTGTACTTTCTTCTCTTGCTTCGCGTGCTACACGGAGTGTGGTGACTTGAACTTCCGCACATTTGTGCAAAGTTCTATGTCGAAAACAGACAGACAGACAGTATCCTACTAGTCACGACTTCCCACTATTTATATATGTATACATATATGATCCTTTTCTGTTTCTCCAACTTCCCTTTTTTCTTTATTGCCACTTTTTATATCTCCGACATCAGTGCCGCATCATTCCAAATGCACGTGTGAGGAGATGAATCGACAAACAAAGACTCCCTCTCACTCTAACTGTGTTACTACTTAATACTCTTGCTTTGTCTCACACTATTTTGTGATTATATGCAAATGAATGCAATGCAACGGCTGAGCTTTTTTCTAGATTATTTAACTTAGCAGGGGTAATTATTCTGGATCTAGCTAAATTTTTATGTACCAATAACTTAATTGACCCCGATCTACTAGTTTGACCTATATAACTGACCTCACTCACAGTCATTACATGGCATTTGGTAAATTATATTTTCTTAATTGGATCTATTGGGTCCTTAAGCCGACAGAGTTTATCACTGAGATAGTTGGTTGGCTTAAATGCTGCCCAAATTCCAGCCTTATTGAGAATTCTACGAAAGGCTTCTGACGTTCTCTCTCTATAAAGCAGTACTATAGAGGCTTTGAACTCTGTATTATTTTCGTTATTTTCGTCATTTTTATTGCTAATCTCTTTTTTTCTCTAGTTTTTCATATATTTTTAAATAAATTCTGGTGGGTAGTTATTCACTAGGAATATATTTCCTCTATTTGTTTGACTTCATTATTTAAATCTTCTGGTTTACTTACTAGTTACGCTCTTGGCCCCATAATACAGACTTTTAACTAAACTTATCTTTACCGATTCTGAATGAGATGAATCAAAATCGAGGTATTTATTAGAGTGGGTCGGTTTCCTATAGAGTAGCAATAAACAATAAAGGGAAAATGGAGAGAGAGAAGGAGAGAATATATATAAGACAAATTGTAGAGCCGTGTGACTAAAACTGATTGGATAATGGGCAATAATGTATGCTCGAAACTTCATCCAGTTGTTAATACCGTATGGCTGTGTGATATTTAAAATAAATTTATCTGTCTGTCTGTCTGTTTTCGACATAGAACTTTGCACCGATGTGAGGCAGTTCAAGTCACCACAATCCATGTAGCACACAAAGCAACAGAAGAAAGTAGAAGAAATGCATAATAGAGACAGTAAACAGAGGTGTGAGAAAAAGGAATAGTAATAACGAAGAACAAAACAGTTTCATTGGAAATCATAAATCACAAGGAGTGGATGCATCTGCACCAGCCATTGAGACCGATTTTGAGCTATATCACCACCTGTTTCCAACCACTGATTGTTACCGTCCCGACGACCCCAACCAGGAAGCCAGTCTACACCTTCCTACGTGGCTAGCTTAAACTAACTGTTGTGGATTCCATTGACTGGTGCCATGTTTTGGGATGACCGCCACTAGCTCTTTTCCAGCCTGACCCTATATCAGCTAACATTGTCCATTGTCGAGGAAGGCGATGACTAGGCATACGTAACACATGTCCTAACCATCTCAGACGATGTAATTTCACAGCTTCGTCGATTGATTTCCCCTCCTTACCTAGAACTCGACGCCTAACCTCAATATTCCTCACCTTATTATACCACCACGTAACACAGGATTTATCTAATATAGAAGCCCAATCATCAGCACTACTGAAACACAAACTTGGTGCATTATGGACACCAAGAGATATGCCACACAAAATATCATACTTTGTGCGACGGTTGGGATACTCTCCGGATGCATAGACCGAAGCATGCGGGTTACCTTAAGGAACCACAATCCAAGCGTTTGACCTGAAGTCTAATCCACAGAGCAGTAGACCAGCGCTAGAAGCTATATTCTCATGGTTTCAGGTGACCAAAACAGCTTCATATGGAATTAGATCCGTTCGGATTCTAGAGCCCATGTATAGGATAGGTTTAGGATTAGGGTTTACCAGATTCCTCAGGTAGACCAATATGTCCACCAGTTTGGTTGTAAGCCATAGACGTCCTCATTCACCCTTTCACCTTTGAGAGGAATACCAACCAAGTCTACCACAAGTTAACACCTGATACATCTTACCTAAGATTTACTGAGTACTGATAAACATTTGTGAGGATTAAACGGTACGTGTGAAAAAGTAATTATACTGAAGCTTTTCTGGCAATTCTATAACAATGTTAGGATAATCAAAGGATAGTATGGTAATTATAACTAACTTATATCCATACTGTGTGTGTATTCAAAAACTAATTTTACAGTAATGCTCTGTTTGACTATATATATTTAATTATTTATTTTACTCCTTTTTGTTCCCAGTGGAACATAATAATAATTTGTTTCATTCCAAAACAGTACTAATGCTGCAGTGTGGAATTTTCAGCATTGCGTAGAAAAATATTGCACCTAATTTTATAGGATAACATAAAAACAATTGTAAAGATAAAATTACAGGATTGTTAGTGGCTTCAAGCTACAGTTTTGAAGTCTACGTAGAAGTGGTTTTCTTTTAACGAGGTCGGGTTGCTAGTCTCACGTCCCAACCGGCCTTACTACCGGCTTAGCAGGGTTTGGCAATATGCCGGTCGGATATCGAACCTCAGATCACGTGAGTGTTTTTAACTAAGCCTAAATAAAGCACCACACAATTGATGGATGGATGGGAATGAATGCGATCGCGTAACTAGTCATACTATGATACCCTAAGCTAAAATTCCAAACAGTTGTTGGAACTAGGGCTTTTAAGTAACCTAACTGAGCGACTGAGTTTCAGCATAGAACTTTGTATAGAAGTGCACCAGTTTAAGCTCCCACACACTCTGAGTAGCACATAAAGGTATAGAAAAGATATTCAAAAAGAGCATAAATATAAGGGAGAAATAATAGTAAAGTGGACAAAAATCAGGGTTTAAAGGATATGGGACATGACACAAAGTGAATCCATCTGTGCCACTGACAACGATATCACCACTAGTCTATAGTCAGTGCTTCTTACCACCCTGAGGACCCCAACCAGGTAGTCTACACTTCTCAAAGATAATTTATAAGACCCAAGCGGTAAATGATGAAAAATGTGGTGAAATGAGAGAGTATAACGGTATATCCATTCCGCTCACTTAATGTAAAATAACTAGTAGATACTAAAAACAGTAGATAAAGAACAAATTCACCAATTCAGTAATGTCTGATAAACATGAAAATGCTCACCTTTCATTCTCTCTTCAAACGCTTTCCTACCACATTCTGGTACTTGACGCTTAGGATACGGATACAAACCCGGTTCCAGTATCGGTGGTACATAACCTCTCCTGTACCAATAATATCGGACAGGTATGCAGAGTCTGAGTGAAGGACAAGTGATCAATTTGAGACTCAACATGATACGTAGAAAACAATATTTTGTAAACCAGTGATGAAAATCTGGAGATTTTATTACTCTGGGATTACAAGCGAAAATAAACTTTGGATCTCCTAAAATAGTGAGTTAGAGAAGATACAAACATGTTATAAAAGTAAGTTAATCTTAGTTGAACGGGTAGTGACAAATAGTCTAAATAGGATCATCCAAACAAACCACACACGTTTTCGTCAGCGGTAACAATGCTAACGTACGGTTATCAATATGTCCCGTAAGACGTTAATTTACCTATGCATGACAGTAAAACATATGAGGTCAAAGTCAACTGATCAAACATAAGATTAATGTAGCTTAAAAATCCCCATTGAGTTATATGTAAAAGAGAAGACGTTCAGCAAAGAGACTCTTTTCGGTGAATTCATTCACATGGCCGTACAATCGCATTTATATATAATTATTTGTGTGTGTACACGAGGTTTGTCAAGTTTAGATAATTGATCAGATAATAAAAGAATGATCTAATATAGAAAAAGGTTAATTGAACAGCAACTAAAGTAAGATTGAGTTAGTTAGATGACGTAATATAATTGGCTAAAATGTTTCAACATAGGTCAGGGTAGCAACAGAGGTAATTACAAGTAGAGACTAAGTAGATGTGGGATAGAGAATAATGTCTGTTTGTTTTCGACATAGAACTTTGCACCGATTTAACAGTGGGCTGATCGCTTCGAAGGACTCTTCAATCGACCATTACCTGCAACTCGCTCACAAATACCACCACCACCAACAGCATGCAGAGAATTTCTGTCAGTGGACACCAATCCTCCAGCGAAAGCAAAAATACTAAATACGATCAAGCTACTGAAGTTCGGCGTGGAAGGAAGCGGGGTCAAACGGAATTCCCCTACCTCGAAGCACTGGAAACTAACCCAAAGACTGAGGCAGATTTTCTCACGTCTTTATTGCAAAAGGTTTGGAAGTAAGAAAACGTGCCTACAGATTTCGAAAAGGAATACCTTGTCAAGTTACCAAAGAACAGCGACTTCGGTCTCTGCAAGAAGTGACTGGCGTGGAACCATGCTCTTGTCCACGCCAAGTAAAATACTATGTCACGTCATCCCAGAGAAAATAAAAGATGCACTGGATACAGAACTCTGCCAACTGGAACAAGCTAGGTTCAGGAAAGGCAAATCATATGCTGATCAAATCGCAACACTACTCATTATCATCGAGCGGAACACAGAAATTCAAACCTCTACCCCCAACTTCATTGACTTCGAAAAGAACTTCGACTGACAGCGTTGACCTAGAAGTAATTTCGAAACTGCTTCAAGACTACGGCGTGCACTACCCAAGTCCTCATTAACCTCATTCAACAGCTGGCTATATGATCATGGCATGTGTCAGGTGATCCACAATGGAAAAATCAGTAAGGCGTTTGGAGTGAATATAAGAGTAAGACAAGGCTGACGGCCTATTATCACCAATGATATTCCTAATTGGAGGTGGACTGGAGGGAGAAGACAGGGATACGCTGGACCAACGATAAGAAGACTCTAAGAAATCTGGATTCCGCAGATGATAAATGTATCACACTAACTAGAAGACTTACAGGCGAAAACCAACAAACTAGGTGAAGAAGCAAGGCAGGCAGAGAAGACAGGACTCCAGATGAGCATAGAGAAAACTGAGGTTATGAAGATAACCGATCAGAAGCAACAACAGCCGGCACCAATTAACATCAACGGGAGATATTTGGTAGGTTATTTTTTCCCTTATTTAGGAACGTAGCATAATCGAAAAGGTAAGGTACGCCTTAATAAGCCGAAACCGGTTCAGAAATTTTCTACACTTAGCATAAACAACCAGATTCAGATTTTAAACACAAATGCGAAGTCAGTCACTTCTTTTATACGGATCAGAAACTTGGTGCATCACGCAAAGCATCCCCAAAAGACAACCGCACACTTTTATAAACAGCTACCTTCGCTGGCTCCACAGTGAAGATCTAATGACTAGCCAGAGCGAAATAGTAACAAGAAACTATGGGAGAAAACTAACTAAGAACTTATCGTTCAAAAAATGTGTAGGAGAAAATGGAGATGGGTCCGAAGTACATTGGGCAGGCCGTCGAATGACATCGCGCGCAGTGCAGGCCATCGCTCGACCGGAACCCCAATTGGAAGCGACGAGTGGTTTGACGGTACGACGGTGACATGGAGGAGATCCTGTGGCGAGTAGATGAGAGATTATGGTGAGTCGTCGACCCAGCTGAATAGGACGGCAGGAAATAGAAATTGAGATGCATTGTTGAAGATCTATGTTACACTTGGAACCCAAGGGAATAATATTACTTAGATGTAATATCCCTGGTATGCATGAATAAGCTATGTTTAATGTGGAGCCGTTTTATTGGATGATTCAAGGTCATTTGATTTTGGGGTCTATTCTTTAATATTACTTGGGCGAAGTTTAAGAATAGGGTCCCAAAACCTTCAACGCTCAAATGACCTTGAACGCATGCTAGTCGTTGGCTAACGGTTCCTGTCATTATCATAGCTGAAATATCAACCCTATTCATCAAATAAGGAGCAAGTTTCACCCAGATAACACTTTTATTACTGTTTGGACAATGTGTTAACATCTCGTTAGGGTTAGGATAGGGGTTAAGGCGAGTATTGTGGTTAGGGTTAGGTTTAGGGTTAGTGTTAGGGTTTAGGGTTAGAATTAGGGTTAGGGTTTAGGATTATGGTTAGGGTTAGGGTTATGGTTTAGGGGTTAGGGTTTAGGGTTTGGGTTAGGGTTTAGGTTAGGGTTAGGGTAGCGATTAGGAATAGATTTTTCGTTTATTTCAAGTTCGTTTGTAATCCTTATTTCCCTTGTATGTAGTCGCCAATGATCTTACTGGAACCATAGTAACTAAACCGAGGGCTGAGGAGAGGACTACACAGCAAGAGAAGAGAGATGAACCATTACTTGCAGGGATTATATAGATTATCATTGATGATTCCGCAACCACATTGTGTGCATCCAAACGTACAAGAACTAAGTGTTTGATGTGTAATGCGCCAATATTGACAAAATAATGGGATTAAAAATGAATACGTAATAAGAAGACTCACAGCACATTATACGACCTTAAAGTAGCGTCTCCAACCAAAATTCCTAACGGAAAGCTAGTATTCAGCGTGATGATATCTTCATAAAATTCATCTGCGTCATTGTTTATAAATTCAAAATAAATTAAAAGTTGGGCAAAGTTCTACAATAGCGTCCCAAAGGATGCGAACGCACGAGTGACATTCAGCCAACCAATCATAAAAATGAGGAATTCTTGCACAAAAATGACGTATATTCACAAGAACATGCATGTTAACATATTAAACATATTATCTTTCTCTGAGATGACTTAAAAATACGTCCCAGTTATGATGAAGAGTATCAGTTGCTAACTTGAACTAGTTTCTATAGATGTATTCACCGAAGTGACTGAAGATGTGCTGTTTTGTGAATCGTTCATCTCTCTTTTCTCTTGGTGTGCAGTCCTCTCCGAAGCCCTCGGTCAAATTACTATGGTTTCAGTAAGAGGGTCTACATACAAGGGAAATGAGGATAAATCAAATTAAAATAAACGACATTAACTATAAATCTATCCCTAATCGCAGCCCTAACCTTAATCCTGACCCTAACCCTAAACTTGACACTAACCCTAACCTTAATCCTAACCCTAATGACAATCCTTATCCTGGCGTAAACCTAGCCCTAATCCCACTTGTGACCGTAACCCTAACCCTGACCCCAATAATTAACCCTTAACCTAACCCTAACGAGGTATCAACACGTTGTCCAAACAGTAAGCAAAAGTGTTATCTGGGTGAAACTTGCTCCTTATCTGACGAACAGCGTTGATTTTTCAGCTATGATAATAATAGGTGCCGTTAACCAACGACTAGCATGCGTTCAAGATCACTGAAGCTTTCGCACTTCTGGGACGCTATTGTTGAACTTCGCCAAAAGTTGATATGTCTACTAAGCCTATCAAACATAATTTATGGTTAACTAAGCTGAGAATCGCACCAGCAACTCTGAAGTGGTCAACAAAATTTGACGTAAGTATTAAGTGCAGTTCAGGAATGAAATTATCTCACATACTCACTGGATGGATAAGGTGATTAAAGGCCATTAGGTGACTCTACACTTTAGCAGTCCAAAACGAAACTACCTAGCGAATGAATCCATGATCTTGACAGATTTATTTACAGAAACCTGTTTAACCTGGCTATGAGGACCTCTGTGAGAAACTAAGAGGTTTATTCGAACGTATACAAGAATACTATCCTATGTAATAATTCTTTAACATTTGATTACTTGCTTACAGGCGTTCACTTCAAATTGCGCACTTCTAATTTTTACGAATCTTGATTAGTCTCTAGAGATAGTTTCGTTTGGACCGCTGTAGTTTACAATCACCGGTCACTGTTACGTTTGCTTCGATAGTTTTTAACACCAGATCTATTCATTCATTTCAATGTAAGTGTTTCATACGCTGTTTAATGGTAATAATAAGCCATATCCCAAAAACGGTACTTATTATACAGTATGGATTCCTCACCATTTGTCACAACATTGCATCTGATATGCCAGAAATACAAATAAAATTATCCACTGGTTTGTACACGAAGTGAGAATCATAGCTCTAATAGCAATAATGTTAAATTGTTTCCAACAATACTGTTGGTACAGTATAGAAATTTTGGAATGTCATACAGTGGTGAATCCAGTGTTCTCTTCACGTAACATAGTGGGAAGAAAAAACAAAAAATTGCATGGAGGATTTCATCATGAGCTGCAATCAGTTAGAGAAGCAATGGAAAACCTGGGGGGTAATGGAGGGCTGTTTCAACAGACCACTCTGAGGCTCTTCATCGGTACGCACCCGCCGGGATTCGAACCCAGGACCTTCTGGTTACAAGGCGAGCTCATAGACCATTGAGCCACTGTGAACAAATCCATTGGGCAGT